TGGGTGGCAAGGTTATACTCAGGTTTCAAATAGCAGTGACCATTGCCTTTCACTCTTGTCACTTTCCTAGTGCAGTGCACCCTGTCAGTTTATTCCCCTGACATCCTTGGGGGCCCTCTATCACTTCAGCTGTGCGTTAATCAGTATCTGCTCTATCTCTCTGACTTCCACTCTGGCCTACTGCATCTTGTGGTTGTGATTTATTGGCCTGGCTGGCTCTAAGATAATACGTGCAAGATACTTCACACGAGACATGTAACTGGATGTACAGTGAGGATCCAAGCCACGCCTCCAGACTCTGCTTTTACACTGGCATGGTTTTACTCTTGACGTTTCCCTGGCTGGGTGTCTCCTTCCCTTTATCTGTCATCTGACTTGCAAACTCAGCCTTTACTCTCCTTCTCCTAGACTTCAGCACCATTAAATTTCTCTCTATTGTGAAAGCACTTGGGCCAGTCAGTCCTGAAATACAGTTATGCAGAGCCTTGCATCAGCAATAGAAGGTGAGCTTTCTTATGGGGAAAATTGTGATTCCACAGAAGCTAGACATTTAGTAAATGAGAACTTGAACTCCGTGGGACCCTGAAAGGGAGAACATAAAGAACAAAGTGGATCTGATTCACAATGATGAGATATGGATGTAGTAGTAAATAGTGGAGTGCAAACTCTAACCAAAGATTTGAGCTTTTTAATGTGGATTATTTGCGTTTTTCTTATCCATTTAATATTGTTACAGTCCCTGTGAGTTGCAGATGAGGCTATGAAAAGAGGGTCTTGAATATGTACCAAATCTGTTCTTTTGTAGAACATTTATTCCTGTAAATATTCTTCTGAGGTGGGGGAGGAGTTTTAAAAGGAGTAAAGAACATAGGTAAATTTTCATGCAAATTTAACATTGAATCTGATGCCCAGTCATGTGACCAAAACATTGGTGGCTCTGAAGTCACAGTTCCTGCTCTCTCATGGTCACTGGTGAGGCAGGGTATGCCCAGTGCAGAAACCCTGGGTATGACTATGACCTGCTCTAAGGACAGACTTAATTTAGGGTTCTCTCATTGGAAGAGCACAGCTATAATTTTGTCCACCTCATCATTATGCAGCCCCGTCGGTCCCTCCCTGTTCAGATTCTCATCATTAGGGTCCAATTCTTCACTTTTTCTTTTCCAGTAAAATTCTGATCTTTTTTTTCCCCCTAAGTCGGGGTTTTTATATACATTTTGTAATATAGTTTTATATTTTACTTGTTTTATTTTCTATTTATTAGAAAACTCTCCTATCTGCTGGTTTAATCTTCAGATGCTTACAAAAGCTAGAATTGGGCCAGGCCAAAACCAGGAGCCTAGAACCCAATCCCAGTTTCCCCTGTGGGTGGCAGGGACCTAAGCACTTGAGCCATTAGCCCTGCCTCCAAGGCTGTGCTTTCTTAGGGAGCTGTCTAGAACAACAGAGATTTCAGCCTAGGCGCTGTGACATGAGATGCAGGCATCCCAAATGTCAGCTGATGCACCAAATGCCTACCCCAGAATCTACATTATTTTTTCCCACAAGGATTTATTTTTATTTGAAAGGCAGATCTACACAGTAAAGGAGAGGGAAAGATCTTAGTTTGCTGGTTCACTCTCCAAGTGGCCACGATGGCCAGAGCTGAACTGGTCCAAAGCCGGGATCCAGGAGCTTCTTCCAGGTCTCCCATATGAGTGGAGGTTTCCAAGGCTTTGGGCCATCGTCTACTTCTTTCCCAGGCCATAAACAGGGAGCTTGATGGGAAGTGGAGAAGCCAGGATATAAACCAGTACCCATATAGTATTCCAGCATTTGCAAGGGATTACTAAGCAATTAGCCAATCAGTTAATTAATAATTAGCCAGTTGAATCATTGTGTTGCAGCAACGCCTCACCCCCCACCCCGTAGGTATTTTAAGTCAAGGCATTGCTTTTCATATACAGCAACCATTCAATGAAATGTTTGTAAAAAAAAGGGGGGGGGGTGGTGGATAGGGGTATTGGATCTTTTACTAGTGATTATAGTGCTTTTCTTCCTTTTTCTTAGAGGCCTTGTCACTGGCCTCCCATTTTTTTCCTCCTGGCTCATTTCTGACAGTTGTGTCAATGAACTGGATAGCAAGACCTGACTATCACTCACACTCCTGCTGTTCATTGCTAATCTAGTCTATGGTTTAGTGACCCTGGGAAGGATGTTTTCGGTGGAATTGCCCTGAACATTTACGTGCTCCTGTTTTCCACAGCAAACGTGCTCAGAATGTTCAATTTTCTGCCCTCTCATTAAGCAGTGGAAGTCAGAGGCCTTAAATTAATTCGCTGTTGCCTTATATTTCCCACAGACAGTCTGTGTTTTAATCCAGTAAATGAATGCTCTCTAGGCCTGGGGAACATGCACAGTTTCTTCATTTATCATTTTTGATAAGTTATTTCTGTCTGCTATATCAGCCCAGCTAGACACATGCCCTTAATATAGCTTGTGAGTCATGGCAGGGTCCAAGCACAAGCTCAGCTGCTCTAAGGAAAACCTACAGCACCTTCCACCCAGCAAACTGCCTGAGTTTATAGAGCTGATCTCACAAACATGCTTCCTTTTCATTCCTTTTCGGGTTTTAGTGGTTTTTCTTTATAGCTTAGGGAACCTTTGAATGTTGTCTGTCTGGCATGAAGTGTGGAAATCCATTCTTTCGAGACCTTCCAAATGGAAGGTGCTGGTGCACACTGGTGTGAATGTGACTGAAACCCTCCCTCTGCATTTGCTACTCTTCCTTTTCACATAAGGAGTCCAGCTTTGGAGTCTCCCAAAAAATCTCTCAACTCCACACCCTCACCTCAACTTTCCCGATAGACGCTGTCCCCACTTCCTCTAGCCACTGCTCTCTTAAAGCAGCTCTTACACACAGAAAACTAGGTCAGACTTTGCAGACTTGCTTCTAAACCACCCTTCGTGCACCTGTTATGGTACAGAGAACAATGAATGGGAGGCAGAAAGAACGTTGATAATTAACCAATTCAGACAAATAGTTACCATATTGATTTTCATATAGACAAGTGTTCCCAGTTGCCAGTTTTTGTTATGAGCATTTACAAAATCTAGGACCCGGTAAACCAAGTGCCTCCCTAAGATCACTGACCCCCACTGTTATCTTCTCATACCTTCCTACTCCTTGCCCTGAAATGTACAAAATAAAGAAACAAGAAAGGAAGCTGTGTGACATGGCAAAAGAATTAAAGTAAGAAGACAGCATGTGTTAGTGCCCCAGGGGCTTTTTGAGACCCAATGGGATATTAAAATCCAAAGGGAAAATTATAAATAAGGATGTGACAGATGCTTGTGCTGCAGCAAGTAAAATCAAGGACTGTAAAAGGACTATTTCAGAAACAGTAATTGAAGAAAGCATTAAGGTGGTAGCATCTGAGTTGAGACTTAACAATCAAATGAGTTGCAGGTGGGGGCAGTCATGTTAAGCCACCATTGAGGACATTCCTATCCCAGATCTGAGGACCAGTTCAAGTCCTGGTTACTCCTCTTCTGATCCAGCTTCCTGCCAATGAGCTCCCTGGGTGGCAGCAGGTGGTGATGGTTTAATTATTGAGCGCCTGCCACCCATATGGGAGAGCCATATGGAGTCCCAAGTTCCTAGTTTTGAACTGGCCCAGCACCAACTTCCTTTGGCATTTGAAGAATGAACCAGCAGATAGAGGCACTCTTTCTCTCCTTTGTTTCTCTCTCATCCTGCTTATTAAAATAAATTAAAATGTTTTTTTTAAAAAAAACATAGAGGAACATCCACAGATGAAGCCAAAAATGGGGGTTTCAGGGCAAGGGACCACAAAGGCTTAGAAAACAGAAATTCTGTCCCAGAAGAAGATTAGGAACTGGGGACCTCATTGAACTTAGCTGCCTTTTATCCTCACTTTGCAATGTCATTAAACAAAAGGCAGCCATTTCTCATAAGGCCAGATGGCTTTGGCTTCTGCAGCCATATTCTGAGCCGATTTTTAGTTGGAGTCAACTCTTAGCTTTCAACACCTTAAAGATCAAAGGACTGAGGAGCCAGGTGCACAGTCAGTCTCACCTTAGGACTGAGATTTGGTTCAAGTGTCTTTTTTGCCTTCTTTAATTGTATAGATGCAAATATATTGCTTCCTCTGAAAGGATGTTGTTGTGAGGGATGGCTTAGCAAACACCTGACACTGACACATGAGGAAATCTTGTGTCCTTTCCCATTGCTGCACTTCTGGAAGGTGATTAGGTCTGGATCCTCCATCAGGGAAATGTGCAGGGCTCCAAAGCACACTTGTGAACTGGCAGCCCAAGTGCAGGCATGACTTTTGTGATTGGAATCAGGAAGCAGACTTAACAACCATTTTTCCCAGGCACAGAAGTCAGAAGCCAGAATCCAGAAGCCAAATGAAAGTGGAGGGTCTGACTTGTGTACGAATTTGAATGCAGCATGCTCAATGAAGTTATCAAAAGGAAAAGAAGGAATAATGCCATAAGAGAATCCCTCATCCCATTTGCATTTGGGAAGGGAATGGAAATCGAAAAGTACTGTGACATTTGAATCTACAACCAGATGGAGACTGTCTGACCTAGTGATTCCAGGCATGGAGTCAGATTATTAGAGTTCAAATCTCAAGTGAATGACTTGATCATTCACATGTGGTTCCTAGCACCAAATGTGACCATTGTTTGAAGTCTCTACTCTCTCTCTCTCTTAATGATTAGATAGCCATCTTAGAATAATCAAATGAATGCATTTGTATCCAGTCTTGCAATAGCCCTTCTGTGGGAGAAGGTGAGCAGCCTCGCTTTTTAAAATCTAGGCTCTATTTTAGCAGGCATGACCTTGTCTCCAACTGGAGAGCCTACAGGTGGGATAAAAAGAAACATTCAATAAAGCAAGTCAGGGAAACATGACTCCACAATGACATGTGAAGCAAGTATTAATTTCTCTGTTTTTGTTCTCTCATCTCCCCCCTCCTGGCATGTGAAAGGTTTTACTCTGCATCACCTACACCCCAACATTTGATCTGAACGGGAGTGCGGTGCTGAAGATCGCGGAGGTGAGTGTTGCTTGTTTGTGTTGGTGTTGGCTGCACACTGCAGCTTGCCACTACCTGGGATGAACATAGGCTGGCGCCAAGGCCCGGTGATGGGGTGAACCCTTCCCTGATTACTTCAGGGGGCAGCTTGCGCTAAGGAACTGCTTTGTGGGGAGCGTGCTGTGGCTGGCCCACTCTGTGCGTCTTGAAGCTTGTGGTTGCCTAGCTGGAAACCCTGATCATGGAAATGACAGTACTGGTTCTCTCTACTATTATATCCAGGTATTTTGCTTTCTCTGTTTCTCCTAAGAAAATTGAAAAGCATTCGGCTTTTAAAAATGATTAGGAAACCAAGGATGAGATTTTGAGAGGTGTTTGCTGATTAAAGCCCGGTTCTATCTTCTTAATCCTGTGAATGCCTTTTGTAACCATCTTTGCAAAACTGCCTCCTCCCATCTGTATTGTACTGGAGAACTGGTACTGTCTACCATTCCCAAGGTGCTCCCCTGGCGCCATGACTTCGTGACTCTCTGACTTCTGTGTACATCATCAATTTCTAAGCTGTATAAATGTACTCAGATGGATTTCCCTTAAGTTTCTTGGAGAATGTCCTTAGGATTTATATGCCCTCATGAGAGTACACATTTAGGCTACAAAGAGGCAGTGACCTTCTGGGTTTTGAAATGAAAGAGAAAAACACCTAATTGTTAGCACTTATATATTAGACATTTATATGATGTTGTGCAGTATTGAAAAATGGAAACAAGCAGAAAATTATTTTTGAGCCTGCAGAAAATGTTTTGTGTCTATCAGAAGAGAACAGCAGCTCATCAGCTGATCTGGCATGTTAATATTAATCACTTTCCAATTATGTGTGTCTTGAGATAGAATTTTTAGGTTGTACTCTGGGTAATGAAATAAAATAGCTGTCTATGTTTTTTAATTGAATGTTAAGGGAGGCTTGTCAGTTCTGCTGCTGTGTGTGCAGGTTCACATTCCAAAAGACAGTGTCGTTTCTGAAAGTAACAAGAAGTAAATCAGCATGCAAGAGGCTGGTCAGCCCTTTGCCATCAGGAGGAAGCCATGAAGTTGGTGTGTCACTGCCCACCTGCTGTGGCTCCCAGGAACAGGAGCAGTCAGCAACCATAACACACGTAGGAAGCAAGGGCTGGCAGGGAACTCCAGTGACTTCTGGAGATGGGAAGAGGTTGTGGTTTTTGTCTCAGTGTTTGAGTGAATCTGAATGATGCAGAATGTAACTCCGAAGCAGCCATAACACATGCAGCAGCTATGGTTGGCTCGAGTAGATAGCGTGCACTGTGAGCGTGTGGAAGCCAGCGTAAGGCTCAGCAGCCCTGTCCAGGAGGGATGAGTCATCCAAGTGCAGTGGACTTGTCCAAAACCTTAAAGGAAAAAATAATCTTAGCCTAAGAACAGTCTAAAGAGAATGGCATTTGAGTTTGTGATTTAAAAAAAAAAAAGCGGGGGGTTATGCAGTCCAATTTTTTGGACTTAGCTCCTGGCTCTCTCAGCTGGTGTTGCCTTGGATACGCCTTCTGCCTCCTGCTTGCCTTTAACGGTACATAGCCCTGTGTCCTGGAGTAGCTGTGCCACTGAGACAAATATAGTCCAGACAGAAAGCTTTTAGCTGCAGGTCCAGTAAATGTTAAATGTATTCCATGGTCACTTTTGAGATGGAGGGACAATCTATATAAAAACACCTTGAAATGGCCCTTTAAAACCCCTGTGCACATGAAGAAGGAATCTGGCTGTTCTTTCTCACAGTGGTATTCGTTTACATTATGCAAGGGCAATGTTTGCTTTAAAACCTGCTGGTCAGGAAATGAGTTGTGTAATAAAGTATGAAAAAAGGCTGTTTTTCCTAAAATATGGATGAGTTTGTAAAAGAATAAGCAATCTCTATAATTGTAACAGGACAGTCTTCATTTGTTGTCCAACTTTAGCTTGATTAAATTGAAATAATACTTTTTACAGAATGGCGCCACCCTGGAAAAATGAGAAACATTATCCAGTTTTAAAGTGGACAATAACCAAATAACCAAATAGTCTTCTGTTCATGCTTATTCCATGGATAAGCATTATTAAATCTTCATTATGGGTTCATAATTCTCCTCCTTCATTGATTGAAAGCTGAGTCAAAGACTTGTCCTCAGATTATTCCTAGATTAGCAAATGTCTTGAGTTTCCAAAGGACAGTTTACCCTAGTATAGGAATAACGGTTTAATATAATTTGTTACAGCATCAAGATAAAGGAAAAGTTGGCTGTAGCCAGCAATACTCTGAAACTGCTTTGAAGATGGTGTGTGTGTGTGAGAGAGAGAGAGAGAGAAAGAGAGAGAGAAATAATTTGGAAAAGATCTTCAAGTTTGCTGAAGGCTCTCCTATGGATTTATTAAAAGCAGAAAACCTTGTTGTCAATGTATGTTTGCCTGATGGAGCTTACTGACTTATAGAAATGTCCCAGTCTTTGATTCATAGGTTCAGGCAAAATTATCTGTCCCAAAGACCCTTTTTTTTCTTTTCCTTCAAGAATCATTTTTTTAAGGGGGGACTTCTATTTTCACTCCTTCCATTCATCTCTCTCTCCATTCCAAAACACTGTTCAATATTAATTGTTGAGTCCATACAGCATGGAAATAAGTGCCACTTTGTGTACACTATCTAGTCATCTCGCACAAGTTAGCTTAATTAGAACCCAAGGCAAAGTAAGGTTGACTGGCTTTTCCAACTTTCTAGATCTCTGGTTTCAAATTATAAATTTTTATATTGCACATATGTGTTATAAACCTTCATGCTACATTACTTCCTGGCTACCCTTGGTCTTAGAAAATGTTAGCATAATCTTGCTAAAGGAAATTCTGACAGTGAGATGAAGTTATTAGAAGTGTTGCCACCCTTGAACTTTGGTGAGTTATCAAATAATCGCTATATGGTATTTCTACATATGAGGCTGAGGTATTAATAAGTCTCTTTTTCCCTTGAGATCAAAGATTAAAGTGGCCATTAGCAATATGCCACTGTCTTTGGGTATTTTTACAAATTAGTCATTTATATATTGTAAGCATGCTACTGTCCGAGGATATAGAGTTAAGAATTCCACGTGTTACCATGGAAAGCTTAAAAAAGTTAGCTCTTCAACCGAAGCTTCTAAGTAGCTTTTTTTTAAAATTGGACTCATTTACAAATCTTCAAATGTTCACTGTTACCTTCTTTTACTCAGATTGGACACCATTCCTTCTGAGATCTCTCGCCAATAAAGGATTTTACCCTCAAGGAACAGCCTGCAGAATATAATCAAGAAGAAAAGCATACTGGAGACCTGCTCCATTGATCCTGTAATGATTTGTATGAGATGAGAAAAAAATAGTACCCATTTCCTGGCAAGGAAATTTCCAGAAGAAATAAGAATACAGGCTAAGACTAGAGGAGATCACCAGAATGAAGAAGGCCATGCTTGGGAGCTTCACTGTCCCTCCCTGGAGCATTTCTGTTCTTGCTTGTGCTCCAGTCCCTTTTTTCTGGTTTGACTTGTTTCAGCCATATGTTCCCTGTGCACTTAGGGCTTTATGACCTTTGAATTGCCAGACCTTTTGCCAGAAATTCCCTTACCTTCCTTTAACTTCTTGACTTGCCTGACTCATGAAGGCTTTTATGTAAGGGTTGGGAGACACATGGATCAGTGAGAGGTCCACACAACTTCATGATTGGCTCATAGGGCAGAGGCTGCATCTCAACAAAGCCTTGTGTAGGGCAGGCAGAAGGCTACACCTGCAAAGGTGCAGGATCCATGGATTGACAAATCTCAAGCCAGTTTTATAAACCAGCTTAAGCCAAGAAGCACATAGCGGGGTAAGAGGAAAATCACAAACACAGTTGTCCTTGTAAGCCATGAGTTGAGATCCAGAAGGAAAACCAGTAAAATCCTCCCACCTGGCGTGGTGATCAGACTCTCTTATTCATATTTCCTAGGAATAATAGAACAACTTCAGTACAACCTCAGTACTCTGTGTTTGCATTGGCGGTCTCATATGATCTGTTACCTCTTGACCCAGCTGTTCGTCTGCTTTAGAGGGGAAGCGCCTTTCACAGAGAATAGAAAGTAGCTTAGCAACTGAACTGTCACCAAGATCCCATATGGAGCTGAGACTTAATGACTCAAATTTTCTTTGATTCTAGTGGGATCTACAAGAGATGGTCTTTCTAATAGAAAAGATGTTTCTTCTGCTTTCTTCTAGCTTTTCCTATTTTATCCTCGTGAACTGTTTCATATCTCCACACATTTTTCTGATTGAAAGTATGCTAGCTCTTATCCTTCTGGAACATAGTACTCACCAGTATGCACTGTTTTAAGCAAGCAATAGCACCATTCTCACTCAGATGAGAAAGAGAAGGTAAACCATATGTTATAGAATTAAGCAAGCTGCTTCCGTGGCAACTCTGGAGTTTGTGATCACTTGGGTTGACATTTCTTGACTGTCTGCTACATTCCATTACGCTGCCTCATGGTTAATCATTGTGATTCCTTCCTGGGCCTGGCCTGGTACTGTTACTATTAGTCCACTTACACAATGACAAAAAAACTCTGCTTATGTGTGGCCTGCGGATTAGTGAATTTTGATCTTTATTTCTGGCTGCTGTAGGGCTTTGTAAGCTTCATTAACCATATGTATTTTTGCTCTCAGCTATATTTAGCATGTCGTAAAACCGGATGTCCACAAATGCATGGCACGATCAAAATGTTCCTTGTGAGCCTGCTCACTGCCCTGTGTCTCCGTGCATTCCCTGGTCATCCGGGGCCTGTGGCTTCTCACAAGGTATTTGACATGGTCCTGCCTCCTGCAGTGCTGCAGGACTGGGGTCTTTTCAGCACCAGTTCTCGGCGAAAGCAAAGGGCGTGGGGAGGTACAACTGATGCTGGGGAGACTAACATGAGAGCCATGTGAGCGCTTTCCAGAAACAGCCTGCCTTGGGCCTTGATCTTCTCCTAGCTTCTCTGAGTCAGTGTGTTCCTGTCAGTACTGAGGTGGAGGAAAAGAATGCATTTGTATGATGAAGCGTTTCTGGCCTTGGATACAGAGGTCAGGTTTAAAATGGAAACCCTCTGTGAACTGTTGTTACAGTAAGTTGGAGGGTCAATTCTTTAGAAGATATTAATACAGCTGATAACGGTGTTTGTTTCTGCATACCTACAGATAATAATAATATCAACTATATGGTAATGTTACATTTAAGAAGATGTCCTTTTGTCATACACAGTATTTAAATTTCCAGCATCAATAGATTGAGCTACTTAGATTAACACTTATTTTTAGCTAAGTGAATGGTTACATATTTCCCTCGGTAAAACACCTCCTATAATAAAGTCATGTCCATTGTTAAAAAAACTAAAGCAGTGGTGACATTAACCTCTCCCCCCCACACAAATAAACCCCACCATGGTGTTTGGAAAGTTCTGTCTGTCTGCAAAGCTGTGATGTCAAATCCAATTTCTCATGTGTGCTTTTTTCATCTGCCTGCGGGGATTCTATCATTTTTAAAGGGAAAACGTATACTCAATATTGCCTTAAATATTCAAGAGAATTTCTATTAAGTGTGTAGCTCCAATCTCAAAATAGCTACTCTTTAAGGCTTTTTAGGCTTAAAATTTCCACTAAATTTATAATGTCAAATCTTAGCACTCTCGGAGAGCCACAGTCAGGCAGACTTCCTGGGAAAACGGCAGGATATCAAGAAAATTGCTAAATTATAAGGTTCAAGTGGCACTAGTGGGCTTAATTTGGCTGTGGAGAATTTCAGTTCACCAAAGTGAAATATGGCACTCATTTGGATGCCTTTTCAACATTATAAATCATTAGATCCCATACACCAAAGATGAAAACACCTTTTTTTTAAATATGTGCGAACTCATGTGAGTAAATGAATTAATTTACATGCTTTAAATAGTTTTATAAAAAAAAAAAAACTTTAGAACTTGTTCCTTAACGATGAAATGAGTTTCTCTAGGCTCATTTCCAAATACAGTTTTAAATTTCAAATGTTCCTTTGAAATATAAGGTATTCAATAAAAGATAAGTTAAACTTTAAACATATTTACCTTTCACCTGATTAATTTTACAGAAGGATTAATGTAGTGAGGCCTGGTGGAAAACTCTGCAAGTTAAGCAGCAGTAGCCTGAAAAGTTGACATTTGGTCTCTGGGCCCAGCGTGATAGCTTAGCGGTTAAGGTTCTCCTCGCCTTGAACGCCCGGGATCCCATTGGGCACCGGTTTCAATCCTCACTTGCCATCCCACTCCCTGCTTGTGGCCTGGGAAAGCAGTCGAGGATGGCCCTACATCCGCATGGGAGACCCGGAAGAGCTTCCTGGCTCCTGGCTTTGGATTGGCTCAGCTCCAGCCGTTGTGGCCGCTTGGGGAGTGAACCAGCAGATGGAAGATCTTCTCTGTCTCTCTTCTCTGTATATCTGCCTTTCTAATTTAAAATAAATAAATCCTTAAAAAAAAAAAACAGATGCTACCTGACCGAGGCTGGAGTTGTGGCACAGTATGTTAAGCTGCCACTTTTGGCACCCAGCATCCATAATCAGAGTGTTGGGTTAAGGCTTCTGATCCAGCACTCTGCTGATGTACCTGGGAAGACAGCAGATGGGGTCCCAAGTGCTCAGGCCCCGGCTACCTATGTGGGAAACTAAGAAGGAACTCCTTGGTCCTGGCTTCAACCTGACCCAGCCTGGGAATAAACCAGCAGATGGAAAAGCTCTGTCTTTGTTGTTCTGCCTCTCAAATGAATTTATAGATCTTTATTTTTTGAGATTTATTTTTATTGGAAAGTCAGATTTACAGAGAGAAAGAGAGGCAAAGACCTTGTATCTGCTGACTCACTCCCCAAGTGCCCACAGCTGCTGGAACTGAGCTGCTCTGAAGCCAGGAGCCGCAGCCAAGTCTCCCACATGGGTGCAGGATTCCAAGGCTTTGGACCATCCTATACTGTTTTCCTAGGCCAAAAGCAGGGGGTTGGACGTGGAAATGCAAAAACTGGGACACAAACCAGCATTTATCTGGGATTACAGCACATACAAGGCAAGGATTTAGTGACTAGGCTCTCACACCAGGCCCTGAATCTTTATTTTACAAAAATGACACTGCTTTGGGCCCATGCATTCCATATTAAAGTGTCCAGGTCTGAATGCCTATGTCTCCTACAATTCCAGCTTCTTCCTATTGCACACCCTGGGAGGCAGCAAGTGATGGCTTAAGTACTTGAGTCCCTGTCCCCCATGTGGGACACCAGATTCAGTTTGAGGCTCCTACCTCAGTCTGGCCCAGCCCCAGCTGTGGAGCTGTTTGGTTAAGTGCACCAGCTATCTGTCTCTGCATCTCAAAAGGACTGAAAAAAAAAAACTTGAAAAAAAAAATATATAGTTCTCTTCCATATCTATTTAATTTAGTTGTCAAGCACCAAATTAGTCACTTGAGTAGGATGTCAGTTTTTTCATTTTTACTTAAGAAGCAGAGGTATGGAGATGGAAAGACCTCCCATCCCGTGGTTCACTCCTCAAACTCCCACAGCGGCTGCGGAATGGCCAAAACCAGGAGACTGGAACTCAGTCCGCGTCTCTGAGCTAGCTAGAGCTCAGATGCTGGAATCACCCCTGCTGCCCGCAAGGTCCACGTAAGCAGGCAGAAGGAACCAGGAGCCAGAGCTAAGAGTCCAAGCCAGGTCATTGGATGTCCTAACCACTCGATCAAAAGCCCACCCCAGAATTCTGTACTGTCATTGTAGACAGCCTTAGAACTATTCCAAGGAAAGTAATTTAGGTACATGAAAGTCTGCCTTTGCCTCAGAGAATAGAATATCGTGTGGAGAGAAAAACGTAGGCATAGCTAAATCATGTCTGTGTTAACAGCTGTGCCCATCTCCATGGTGTCCAGGAAAATGGGACATCAGAACAGTCTGCAAAGTGGGGAAGTCATTTAGCATCATTATCAAATGGCAGATGTTTCAAAATTGAGCCTTCTTCATGCTTTCACCAGCGAGATGTCTTCTGGGTTCCAGTAGACATTGAAGCAAGAAGCCACAAAGAGGCTACAACTGGCGTTTTATCACTTAGCACACAGGACTGGAAATGGAAACAGGACAGTGTTAGCATTTGCCTTGGACAGGAGGCCTCATAGCAATTAAAGGCAGAACTCTGGTTCTCACATGACAATGTAGGCACAAAAAGCCAGGCTAATAAGGCTTGGAGCTCATTGGCTTAGGAGCCCATATCCCAAATAGGAACCAATGCTTTTAAAGTAACCCTGTAAACAGAGCCAGCTGAATCATTTCCAGGGGATGTGATCAATTACAAGAGTGGTTGCATCCAGGGAAGCCTACATCTGTACCTTCCCACCAGGCATTTCCAGTTGACACACAGGTAATCCCAGTTCGGTCGAGTTTAGTAACCAGGAAGCACTTGAACCATAAACCATACTACTTAGAAACATGACCAGCATCCTGCCCTTTATCGAATTTCCAAAACAACACAGCTAGAGAGGGTACCCAAAGTCACACTCGGGGTTTCACTAACCCTTTGCCCACACATTGTAACTCACAAAATCTTACATTCTGGTGCTTCAAAGGTTTATTTATCTAAAATTCAACTGCAGAGAGAAAGATCTGCCATCTACTGGTTCACTCCTCAGATGGCCACAATGGCTGGGGTTGTCCCACATGGGTACAGGGACCCAAGCGCTTGGACCATATTGCACTATCTTCTGCTGCACATAAACAAGGAACTGGACCAGCAGTGCAGCAGTCAGACCTCAAACTGGTACCTACATAAGATACTGGCGGCAGCTTTACCAGCTGCACCACAACTGCAGCCCTAAAATCCGTTCTGGTGTGCCATGAAGAAGCATTTCCTGATGTATTTAGAGTCACCTGGATTTTAGATGAAATCATTTGGCCAAATTGAAAGTCACTAACTTGCTGTTTTTCCTTTTGCTGGACTGACTAAGGAATGACTTGCGGGCATGTTGGGTTTGTGTGTGGAACTTTGGTAATGAGGATGTCTGAATGAGCGCATGTGTTGCTGTCTTGTTTCCTGACTAGGTCTGCATTGAAACCTACATGTGTAGCTGTCACCAGCGTAGCATCAACACTGCTGTGCGGGCCACCCTCAGTCAGATGCTGAGCGACTTGACCTTGCAGTTGCGACAGCGGCAAGAGAATACGGTGAGCTAGCAGCACACCCGTGTCACGGTTGTCTTCACTGTCCTTGTCCCTGGTCCCAAACCTGCTGCCATGTCAGTAGCCCATGGAAAACTCAGGAATTAAATGACTTGTTTGTTTTGGACGAGCTGGGGCGGGGGGGGGGGGGTTGTATGATTTTGTAATTCTTCAATTCTTATTTTAAAATTTACTTTTGAAATTTTTTACACATTGAAATTTTTTCAAGAAAATGAATGTGATATAATAAATGCTGGAAGTAGATATGAAATTAAGAGAAAGGAATTCTCGTTCATGACATACCTTGGGGTTTAGATTCCTTTTGTCCAGCTCCCAGCTGTGAGCATCTTCTCACGGTTTGTTTGATGTCTGTCATCAGAACCTGTTTCAGCTTTATGCCCTCAGCTTGAACAGACTGTCCGGAGCAAGTACCCTGAGGAACCTATAAATAGAATGGGCTTCTTGTGTGCATTCTCTCCCAGCAGTGTTCGTGAGAGCATTTACCCTCCTCCAAATCAGCGCTTTATTTTAAACTTGCTTCTAAAATCATTTGGATGAAAAGTCTTCCAATCGTCCATGAGTGTTCTGAGCTGGCATCTATTACTTATGTGTAAAATCTCAGTTGCCGTTCAGAATATCTCAGTTGTGCACACATTAATTTTTTGGTGGCTTCCCTTCAGTTGCTTCCCAAGTTTTACTCCAATTATTTTTTAATTTTCAGCAAATTATGGAGTTGAGGCAAACCCTGTAGATCCTTCAGTAAGATTCTGTCATTTCGCATTTTACAATAAGAACGTACAGCCCAGAAGGATGAAATGGAAGCCAAATGTTAGCAGAGCTGAAGTCCTGCTTGCTGATCACACCCTATGGCAGGTTCTCCACCACTATGTGTTCCCACAACCAGTGATGAAAACAACGCTAGGTGTCTGTCTGCTATATCCAAAGTTCAAAATTCTGTTTAAACGGTTGTTTAAATTCAAGGCATTTTTAAATGACTTTAGCTTTATTTTTGTTACATGTTATTTTGTTTATATGAGAATTTTGAATATGGTGGTGTGGGAATATGCATTTTCAAAGAATTTAACATCTAGAAGCAGAAAATATGTCAAGGGAAAAAGAAACATTCTTGATGGAAGAAAACTGAGGGTGTCGGTTCCTGAAGGAGTCTATATTCTTGTTCTGTCTCTGCTAAGTGACAACATCGAATAAAATTGGCTTGTTGTGAATACCATCGCCCGGCAGTGTTTGTGAGCGTGTGGACCCTCTTCAAGATTGTTTGGTATGTGAAGGTGGTTTTCCGAATGGAGTTGTTCTGTAATCAGAACACACATGCTGCGTCTTCTGGCCTATCCCATGCATCAACATTCGGAGTTCCCTGTATGTAACATTCCTATGCAGCATTACTTTGGGAAAAGCAGTTGTTTTCAATGCTACCTGAAACTCACTTGGGCACTGAAGTTCTCTCTGGATATTGTTAGTAATAGTTGATTTGACACTGTCTGGCCATGTCTAGTTAAGTGACATGCCATGTACCTGAGCCATATTTCAAGGCAAATGCCTCAGTCTTTTATCCTTCACTGCTCTTTTTTTTTAAGATTTATTTATTTTTATTGGAAAAGCAGATATACAGAGAGGAGGAGAGACAGAGAAAGATCTTCCATCCAGTGATTCACTCCCCAAGCAGCTGCAATGGGTGGAGCTGAGCCAATCTGAAGCTAGAAGCCCAGAGCTTCTTCCAGGGCTCCCACACAGCTGCAGGGTATCAAGGCTTTGAGCCATCCTCAACTGCTTTCCCAGGCCATGAACAGGGAGCTGGATAGGAAGTGGGGCTGCCATGTTTAGAACTGGCATCCATATGGGATCCCAGTGCATTCAAGGTGAGGACTTTAGCTACTAGGATATCACACTGGGCCCCATTCATTGCTCTTAAATGAGAACAGTAACAGGTATCATTGTGGAGTCCCGGATGGAACTCCAGGGTTTGTCTGCCTTTGTCCTGGTCTTATGTGACTAATTGGTTTTCTAGTCTTACTCCTCTCAGCTGGAAGCAGGATCCCACATTCAGCGAAAGCTGAGTATTTCCTGTCACTTCCTGTCTGTTATTCAAGCAATCCCTGGAGATGTCATTCCATGTCCCAGAAAAAATACAAATCTCAGAATGTTTACATCTGTGTTGTATCTGGTAGAACAAGACATAAGTTTTGCCACCGAAGCATTAGGTATTTTTGAATGAAGTGGTCTATGGGAATGGTCAAGTTTGCTGGAAGGAGGCTGTGTGTTCATTTGGGAGACATTTTTAGTGTAAGCCATTTCTGGAAAGATGCCATAGACCACCTTTGATCAGGAAGACCTAAGTGGAAAGAAAAAAAATCATTTAGAACACCAAATGCATTAGCATGAAGTGTCTTCAACATAGTGTCTGTCTGCACCCTATTCTAAGGACAGACTATAATGTGGATTTTATATCCTCAGAAACCTTATGTTATCCAGCTTTATCAATGAACTATAGAAATGACCATAGCTGTGGTTAAACTGTAAGTTCCTCATTTCATGAAGTGAAATGGCCACATGTAAATATTTGGAGCTGGGCAGAGGGAGGAACTTTGCCTCGCTCTAATATGATGCAGACATGTTTGTTTCCTCCAGAAAATACTATTCTAATCATGTATATGCTGTAGCCATTGACATGACATACCACAAAAGCCCTGCAGAGCAGCTGATCCAGCAAAGGAATGAATGGAGGGTGGTAGAAATATATGCCTGCCGCAAGAATTAAAAACTCAGCACCATGGGGTGACTTGCATGTCCAGTAGCTAATCAGTGTGAAAACGCCTTCCGGTTATCTCCTAGTGTAGACATGTTGGGAGGCTGAAGTTTCTCCTTCCTGTTCTCAACTAGAAGTTGCTGAGTTGTCCTGGGCTTGGCGAGTCCTAAATCCTTAATCAGCCTTTCCTGTGGAGCATCCCTTCCCTAAAGTTTGTCTCTGCACTCGGGGATCTTGCTCTATCCAGCAGCAGCCAGAGAGGTCGGTCTGAATGGGAAAAGGCAGTTTGCCTCCTGCCAACTGGGAAGCTGGCACTTGTGACCATTGGTCATCTTTGCACCTGTATTTCAAAGCCCAGGGACCTGATTCTTCTGACAACAGAGTCTGCACCTGCTGGATGCCACACACAAGGTACTCTGTAGCCTTGGGATACCTTGTTCTCTGCTGTGTCTTTAAGCAGGCATGGCCCCAAGTCAGCACCCAGCACCCTGGGATCACACGGCACACCACAGGGCTTCAACTTAAAGGAAGCTTGTGGGCTCGTGAGTGCATGAGTTATGTAACTGGTAACTCCTGTTCCGGGCATCATGGTCTTTCTCCTAAGTACTGTGAATAATGAAGTCAAGAGCTAGACAGTGTCATTTTGTTTACTAGAGTTTTCCATTCTCTGAAAGTATGAATTGTTTCATCTGCATCTCCTAATTGTTTGTCTCCCTTACTAGATTATTGAAAACCCAGATGTCCCACCGGAATTCAGGAAACAAGGTACTGGATTTGATTTTTACCAGCTCAGTTTGAAAAGTGGGCTTAAGAATGAGTGCCTGCCAGGTGCCAGATCCAAGGGCGTGAGAACGCCTAGAAGACGTCAGTCTAGTTTGCCAGTTTGCCAGAGTGCTTGCATGTTCTGTTTGGCCATCCACACTGCTACTTAACAAGCTGCTCTCTTCTTTCTGTCATTACACTCACTTAGGCCAACTGTGTCTTTTTCTGTCCCATGTGTAGGAGTGAAATTAATCGTCACAGACCTCCTTTTTATAGACTGGCTGGCTTTATTTTTCTTTTAGTTTCTTTCTTCTCCATGAAGTCAAGTTTCATTGCTGAAATGAGAATTAAGGGGAGGGTGACAGAAATCTAGCTGGTACACAGTGCTGTTGGACCAGGATTGTGTTTGTGAAATACCAGCGTCTTCATACATAAAAGGAGTCGGCATAGGGGGGAGTCAAGCAGACAGTCCAACTGAAGTCAGGCAAAAATCAAGGAACTTTCATTGTGGCCCAGTGAAGAAGGAGACAAGCAATTTTTAAAGTATGAACTTACCTGAAATGCAGAGATGATGCGAGAGAGAGAGCTTCTGTCTCCTGGTTCATTATCCAGATGCCTGAAACAGCCAGGACAGGTCCAGGCAGGAGGCAGAACTGAGGCATCCACTTGAGCCTCAGGGATACAGTCACCTGGCCCAGCACATACTGTCTTCCCGGAAGCTGGAGAGAAGCAGAGTAGCCGATGCACAAACAAGCAGTCAGATTTTGGGATGTGGGTGTTTCTAGCAGTAACTTAACCTACTGTGTCAAAACACCTGCTGTGCTGGAACACTTGCCCCAACAATTTAATGTGTAAAAACAAATTTCATTGCAGTGTAGTCCAAAAGAAGGCTGGTAAAATCAATTCAATTCAATTAAAATTGAAATAATTTTTAAGATATTGAGAAAGTCATGGCATAATAGGGTAGTGCTCCACCTATTGTGCTGTCATCCGTATGGGTGCTGGCTTCTGTTCCGGCTGCCCTACTTTCTGATAGAGTTCCCCTGCTTATGGTCTGGAAAAGCCATGAAGGAAGGCCTAAGTGCTTGGGACCCTGCACCCATGTGAGAGACCTAGAGGAGGCTCCTGGCTCCTGGCTTCACATGGGCTCAGCTCCAGCTGTTGCAGCCATTTGGAAAGTGAACCAGCAGATGAAAAATCTAAGTATGTCTTTCCTTCTCTCTATAAATCTACCTTTCAAGCAAAAATAAATCTTTAAAATATGTACTGGGAAAATCTTCTTTCTCACCTTCCCAATGAATGATGAAAGTTTACCAAGGGGTTTGTTCAAAGTTTGTCTAGAATTCTGCATACAGTGTTGGTTTATTTGAAGCTTGTTTTATCATTGCCCCTTTTCATTTCTCAGCTTTCTTCCTACATTTCTGGACTTGATTTCTGAGGATTGACCATTTATATATTTCCCCTACTCCACTCTCACTTTATTTTTTATTTTTTCTCTCACCTTTTTTCTCTTTCTTGCCTCCATACACATTCACTCATTAATGTAGTCCTCAAATATTTAGCCGTATGTGTAGGGATCTTTGAAAGGTTTTAGAAACCAAACACGTCTGCTTGTCATCTACTTGACACATCGCTTTTGTTGTATAACTTATCCCGTTTTGCCGAAAGGAAGAGTTGACCAAGTTCACACAGTCAGCAAGCTGCAGATAAGGACTTCAACAGATTCCAGATTTTAACCATTCTCCCTCCGGGCTTCAGGGAAGTTTGTGTTTTGGAAACTAGAGTGTGTTTAGACATAAAATTTATATCTCTGGTATTTCTCTTGCTGCATTTATGAACAAAGTCCATGTGCACTGTGGACAGTAGGGGAAAATGCTCACTAAATTGCTTACTCTCCTTTCTCTGATTTCTTGGTTCCAACCATTTTTTTTTTTTTCTGTGCTGCCACATTTGGGGAAATTCAAGATTTCAAAGCAAGGCTTAACCAGTGGGAAGAGCACAGTTTACTGAGTCTTTTTATTATTATTATTATTAACCATGTCTCCTTTCATTAAGTGTGCATTTTATTTACATTTTTTTTTCTGTATAATTGTGATACGTGTTTTGAGGTCTGCTCCTATTTTCAGTATTGGAAAGTATCTGAAGTGTGTGGTGGGGTGGAGATGAGTTGTCAGCACCCCTCAAGTCTAATGGTTGTCACCCGTGTTTTGAAGGGCCCACAGTGGAGTCCCTCTGTGATGACGTGGTATCTGTGCTCACGGTGCTGTGTGAGAAGCTGCAGGCCTCCATAAAGTAAGTAAATGGCTCATCCCTGGGCTGGAGCGAAACTCATGTCTGTCCATGGCATCACTAACAATTGCAGGTGCCAGGAATAAGGATGCTTCCGCATGGGCATCCACCTGTCCCTTCTGAAAAGCGCACACAGAAGCCAGGGACCATCCCAAATTGTCAAAAACCTTTACCAAAGTGTATCCTTTTCTGGTGAGAAAGCCAGAAACCAGTGTCTTGTGAGTAAGAGTTCATCTCCTGAGTGTGGAGTGGAGTGGAAGAAATGTGGGGTTGGGCTGGACGATGTCAGACTGCTAACTCAGACTTAGCTCTGCTTTCTGCTCTGTGAGTCTTCTCAGGGAACCATGCCACGCCTTCCTCCTCTAGTCAGTAACACTGCTTCATCTGACTTGGGAGCTCATATGTATGTTTAAGCAGTTAATTTTTTTTTATAGACTTCTCAGTTTTTGCATTTTAGTTGCCTTGTTAATATTAGTTCACTTAGCTCAGCTGCTACCCCAGCTTTGCATGCAATGAGTTAAGGAAGCAACTCCGGCATCTCTAAGAAAGCCACAGTAGGGTGGGCTCAGGTTCTCCGACACGGGCTGGAAGCCGTGGTCAGCTGCGTGGGTCATGAATCACTCCCTGCGGCCGTACAGGCCACCACAGAGGTACTGCAGTGTTCTTTGAATTAGAACAAGAAACAAAAGATCATCATTTATGGTCACTAGAACAGACTGTAATTCAAAAGATGTTAGCTTGCAGAAGTTTATTTTCACCTGATACAAAAAAAAAAAATGTACATGTTTTTAGAATACTGTGTGATGTCCCGGTGCATGCATGCATTGTTAAGTTCAAAACAGGTGAATATATCTACATATTTAACTCTGTGATGAAAATTTCCTTCTGGCTTTCTTAAAGAAAAATACAGAGCACATCATTGCTACCTGTAGTTGCCATGTTAGACAGCAATGATAGCAGAACTTCTTACTCTTATAATGGTAGTGATGTCACTTACAAAAGAGTTGTTGCCTTAGTTCCCATCAATCAACTCCTTGCCCCTCTGCTACCACCTCTCTCCCCAGCCTCTGGAAACCACCACTGTACTTTCAGCTTCCGTGAGACGAATTTCCTTGGGCTCCACATATGAACGACATGAAGCAATACATGCCTGTCTGTAGCTGACTTCCTTTACTGAGCACAGTGAATTCCATGTTATTGCAAATGACAAGGTTTTATCCTTTTGTGTAGCTGAAGAGTATGCTATTGTTTCCATGTGAGAGCGTGTCTCCTTCACACTTCATCTGTGCATCTGTCCACCTGGGCATATAACGTCATTTCTATTTATTTGCTGTTTGGAAGAGCCCTGTAGTAAACTTGGATGTGTATGTATCTCTAGCCCAGATCTCATTTCCTTTGAATATCTATGCAATAGTGGGATTCTTGAATCCTATAGTAATTCTATTTTTAGCTCTTTAAAGAACTTCCATAATTCCTTCCATAGTGTTAGTACTAATTTACATTCCCACCAGCAAACACAAGGGTTCTCTCTTGACTTCCTCACCAACACTTGTCTTTTTTGATAATCGCTTGGCTAACTAGACTGGGATGATACCTCCCTGTGGACAAAAGACAGAAATCTTTTGTCCACTGATTCAATCCACAATTGAATACAATGGCCAGAGCTGAGCCGATACAAAGTCAGGAGCCAGGAGCTTCTTCTGGGTCTCACACAGGTGCAGGATCCTAAGGCTTTGGGTCATCCTCAACTGCTTTCCTGGGCCACAGGCAGGGAGTTAGATGGGAAGTGGAGCAGCTGGTACATGAACCTGTGTCCATATGGGATCCTGGTGCATGCAAGCCAAGGACTTTAGCTACTAGGCTACCATGTTGGGCCCACTCTTTGTGGTTTTGACTTTCCATTTCCCTAATGATTAGGAAACATGGTCCTCACATACCTGTTGGCCACTTGTATGTATCCTTTGAAAATGTGTGATTTTAATCTGTTCTCTGTTTTGTTAAATTTTATTTATTCAAAAAGTGGAGAAATGGCCAGCAGTGTGGCATAGTAGTGAAAGCTGCTGCCTGCAGTGTTGGCATTCTATATGTTACAGGTTTGTGTCCTGGCTGCACCACTTCCCATCAACTCCCTGCTAATAGCTTGGGAAAAGCAACAGAAGGTAGCCTATGTGCCTGGGTTCCTGCTACCCACGTGGGAGACCTGGAAGAAATCCCTGGCTTCCGGCTTAGGTCTTGCTCGACCTTGGCTGTCACACCACCTGGCGTTGGGGAGTGAACAACCAAATGGAAGTTCGTTTTTCCTCTCTTTCCCTCCTCTTCCCCCCCAGCTTGCCTCTCTCCCTCCCTCTCTTCCTTTTCCTCGTTCTTGCTCTTCCTCACTCTACCTCTCTTTTCTTGTAGCTCTTTCAATACATAAATATTTTTTAAAAAAGAAAAACCCGGGACAGAGACAGCTCCCAGGTTCACTCCCCCACTAACCCACAGCAGCTGAGGCAGGTTTGGAATTAGAGCCAGGGATGAGAACTCAAGCTTTTCCCCTGTGGATGGCAGAGAAGCAACCACTTGAAGTATCACCTGTTGCTCCCAGAATCTACAGTAACAGGAAGCTCGGATTTGAACCCAGTACACATTTGCATTGGACATGGACATCTCGGTGGATGTCTTAGCCAACAAAATGTCCGTCACTTGCCCATTTGATAACTGATTTATGTATGTACATATGTATTTCTTGCTTGCTGTGGAGTATTTGGGTTCTTACACTTACATATTTGAGGTATTAACCTATTAACCCATGTTTAGCTTGCAAATATTGTGGCTGTTTTATCCCATTCTGCAGGTTGTGTATTGTTAATGCTGATTGTCTCCTTTGCTCTGTAAAAGCTCTTTAGGTTGCTGAAACTCGGTGTCTATCTTTTTTTTGTTTCCTCTGCTTTTTGAGTTTGACGCAGAAATCTTCTTGCATTGCATTGTCCTGAAATTTTCACTTATGTTTCCTTCTAGTTATTTCATTGTTTCAAGTCTTATGTTTGGGTCTTTAATCTCTTTTGAGTTCATTTTTGTTTAACATGGTGAGAAGTGGGGGAGGGAAGTTCTGCTTCAGGTGGACAGCCAATATTTTCAGCACTATTTGTCAGAAAGACTGTCCTTCCTCAAACATCACAGCACCTTTGTCAAGATCAATTGGATATAATGAGCAGCTTTGTTTCTAAGCTCTCTTTATGCCAATTCCGTAGTTTTTAATTACTATGGCTCTGCAGTACGTTATTTTTAAGTCAGATGATATAATATCTCCTGCTTTGTGCTCAAGATTGCTTTTTTTTAATGGTTCCATACACATTTTACTGGTAGCTTCAATTTGCCTGAAATTTTCATTAGTGTTTTGATAAAGTTTCCATTGCATCCATGCATTACTTTTGGCAGTGTGGATATTTTACTATATTGATCCTTGGAATTCTTGAACATAGGGTATCTCCCCTTTTCTCTGTACTCTTCAATTTCTTGTATCAGTATTCAATACTTTTCATTATAGCAATCCTACATCACCTTGGTTACATTTATTTGCTTGGGTTGTTGTCATTGTCTTTTATAGCTGTTGGAAATATGATTGCTTTCTTGATTTCTTTGTTAGATAATATGCTGTTTTATAACTACTGCTTTCTCTATGTTCTACAAATCTACTCAATTTATTAGTTTCAATAAATTAATGTTTTATTGCAGTCTTCGGAGTTTTTACCACAAAATCATATGCAGTCATTGACAATTTGACCTCGTCCTTTCTAACTTGAATGTCCTTTATTTCTTTCTCTTGCCCAATTGGCACTTGTGGAATTATAAAGATAGAAATGAGTTGAGAAAAATAATCTAATTATAGACACGAAGAAGGTCTTTAACTTTTCTGAAAAGCGCTACAAAAACTTTTTTTTTGAAGTTTTATTTAAGCGTTTGGATTGCCATGTAATCTTTGTACAGCACTTTGTATATTGCAAAAGTTGAATGCAAAGATACAGCATATGATAAGGCAGCGAGTCTTTACATGCACCGTTGTGTTCAGAGCCTGCTGGTTCCCCCTCCAGTTCTTCATCCGGGAAATGACATTGTAAACTACAGTCATGACACTGTGTGATTAAAACATGGGAACTTGTTACTTTTATCTCACTGTGTCTTAGTACCTGTTGTCTACACTCTCCCTGTCCCCAACCTCTAGTAATAGCAGTGCCCAGCTCGGAAGCACTGAAAAAGCATGGCATTGTCCTTTGTCTGGCTTATTTTACCCACTAATCTCCAGCGTCATCTATTTGGCAGCAAATAGCAAACTATTTTTCTTTTTCATGTCTGCATAGTGTTCCATCATCCGTTCATCAGTTGATGGATACTAGGTTGGGTCCATATCTCTTCCCTTCCTCATCAATTCACATGTTAATGTGACATGATTACAAGAAGAGGTTCAGTGCAGTTTACAGATACAGTTCTAAGAACACAGTGCTTCCCTCCCTTCCTCTCTTTGCCTCTACCACTCACCATGTTCTCTCTATTTCTGCTTTTCTTTCTTTTTGGTTTTTGACATACATATTTTTGATCTACATTATATTCAAAGGCCTATTGCTCCACTAAGTTGGGAGTTGAATAAGTCAAAAGACTCGAGTTAAGGCATAGTGCAGGTGAAGGCTATAAACAATACTTAAAAGATGCCGTTGCTTGTTTTGTTTTGTTATTCACAGACGCAGGATTTTTTTTATTTTATTTTTGAAAATTGTTAGCCCTGTATTTGGGAAGCAGAAAGGGCTATGGAAGGGCTATGGAAGCAGAAAGGGCTATGGATTGGGGAAGCTAGTGCCCCCATGTGTTGGGAATGAGTAACTCTCACATGATGAGTATGTAAATTTGTTTCTTTAGTAACCATTTTACTGCACACACATGCACACGCACACACACACCAAATACTTCAAAAAGCCCATGGAAAACTAGAATTTAAAAGCAAGTAAAGGGCACAGCTCGATGACTCA